GCTTTGAGGGTCCCGAAAAGCGCTATATAAATGCAATCCATTATTATTATTATTATTATCAAAGGACCGCTGCAACAATAAGAAAAAAACATGTTCTGATAAAATTTGTTTTAAAAAGTTTGCATACAATGACCCAAATTTTATATATTTGACTTTTACTCAATATAACTCAAAGTGCGAGACTGAAAACAGGAAGTCATCAGGAAAGTACAGAGCTGAAGTGTAGTTTCACAGATATCGCCCCCTGGTGGCCATTTAAAAGAATGCAGTGTTTTAGACCAAGAAGTCAACGCCCGTCCTTCACCCTCTATTAGTGCTACATTAACAAAGTCATGTGACAAAAATCCATCTACTGTTTCAGTCTAGGAGGACTCATTGTGTGCTCTAGGATTATTTTCTGTTTGTACTCTGATGTTCATAGCCGTGACCTACGACCTTTTGCAGGTTAAAAACCTGATGGAGGAGCTGGCTGGTCAGGATGAAAACATGACCAAACTCAGCAAGGAGAAGAAAGCTCTCCAAGAGGCTCATCAGCAAACCCTGGATGACCTTCAAGCAGAGGAGGACAAAGTCAACAGTCTGACCAAAGCCAAGTCTAAGCTGGAGCAGCAAGTGGATGACGTGAGCTGGTGTGACTACTTTCAGACCCTGGTGTCGCTAAATATCTCAATTAATTTTGTGCAATTTGCTTGTAAAGCTTGAAGGTTCACTGGAGCAAGAAAAGAAGATCCGCATGGACCTGGAAAGAGCTAAACGGAAGCTCGAGGGGGATCTGAAGCTGACGCAGGAATCCCTCATGGACCTGGAAAATGACAAACAACAAGCTGAGGAGAAAATTAAGAAGTAAGCTTTTGCAGTGGTTTTGTGTTCAAGTAGAAATGAACTGATTAAATACTTCATATCTTCTTATCTTCACAGAAAGGAATTTGAAAACAGCCAGCTGCTCAGCAAAATTTCGGACGAGCAAGCTATAAACAACCAGCTCCAGAAGAAAATCAAGGAGCTCCATGTATGAAGTTCAGAGTTAGACCATAAATTAATAACACTGTTAGAAATGACCTGTTTAAGTCTCGGTGATACCGTGCGTTGTGTTTTTCTGCTTTCAGGCTCGCATTGAAGAATTGGAGGAAGAAGTTGAGGCCGAGCGGGCGGTCCGAGCCAAGATCGAGAAGCAGAGGTCTGACCTCGCCAGGGAGCTCGATGAGATCAGCGAGAGGCTGGAGGAGGCCGGAGGAGCCACCGCCGCCCAGATCGAGATGAACAAGAAGCACGAGGCTGAGTTCCTCAAACTGCGGCGCGACCTGGAGGAGTCCACGCTGCACCACGAGGCCACGACGGCGGCTTTACGCAAGAAGCAGGCGGACAGCATGGCCGAGCTGGGCGAGCAGATCGACAACCTCC